CAGCCAAGCATCCAGCATTCTTTGTTTGTAAGTCCATCAGGATGGCACCTCCTCATTCTCTGGAGGCTTTGCCTAACATCTAAAGCCACCAGAGAGGTGAGAAAACATAAATCAGATCTTTGAGCCATTTGTACCTGAAATTCCATACTCAGTGGGCAAGACCAGAGCTGGAACCACCTCAGTGAAGGTGGACTGGGTCACCAGGACCACAATGAGCCTGCCACTAATTGGAAAGCATTGTCTGGGGTCAGATTTCTTCAGTGTAATGATCTGTCAAACAGTGATGATTTCTGAGTGCAAAACCTGTGGCCATCTGTAATCCTTCCCATATAATCTCTTCCAGCTTTTAAAAATAATTTCAAACTCTTCCCATTCCCATGATGCCTGTAAAGCTGGCAGCTCTTGGCTGTGTGGGAAGGAAAGACCCTTTCTTTCTCCTTTCTATGCTAGCCTGGTAAAATTTTAGCATTAATGGGGTTTTTAATTGTTTTATTATGAAGCACACAGACACAGAGCCCTTTGGCAAGGGCACCTTTTAGAAATAAATTGAGTCATCACCCCTATAATAGAAAAGCTAATTCAGTATGGATCTGTCCTCCAGACAGGGGCATGAATACCCCTTGGAGAATGGCATTACCGACTCACCAGACTTATGCTAGGAACTACTCTTTGTTTTTCCTAACAGATCCCACTGTCCTGCCTGTGGATGGCTTTTGATGGCTCCTACAGCAATATGCTCATGGGGGATCAGCCTGATCCTGGCATCTCTAATGGTGCTGCTGTTCTTCCAGGACTACTACATCATCCACTGCTAGAAGGACCCAGCTTGGAGACTCTTTGTCCTCTGACCTGCCCAGAATCTATTTGCCTTCTACTTTCTGCCTGTCTTTCTATAAAAAAAATAGCTGTCATTAGAACCCCAGATTTAAAAAACCTTTATCCTTAGTACGGGAGAATCTACCAAGGCTGTAAAACTCCCATCTGGCTACAGAGAGAAGAATAAGGAACTGCAGGTTGGTGTCTGTCCATAGTAAGGGTGAGGGAGTCGAGCAGAGTTGTGAGAGCTGGAAAGATCCATGTCTTGGTCACTTTTCTTGGGTAAGTGGCTGAAGGGTGGCAGATACCTGATCTGGTGTAAAATCTCCCAGGGAAACGTTACCCAGCAACTTGTGTAAGCAAATGAAGGTTAAAGAAAGCTTACCTCCCCTGATGAGCAAGAATGGCAAACTGGTAACAACAGACAAGGAAAAAGCTGAGGTTCTCAACAACTTTTTTGCCTTGGTCTTAACTGCCAGCCTCTCTCCTCACACCTCCCAAGTTGAAGGACCAGGTTAAAACAGGGGCTATGAGAATGAAGGACTGCTCACTGTAGGAGAAGACCAGGTTTGAGACCACCTAAGGAACCTGAAGGTGTATAAGTCCATGGGACCTGATGAAATCCAACCACATGGTGGACAAAGTTGTTAAGTCACTTTCCATTGTATTTGAAAAGTCATGGCAGTCTGGTGAAGTTCCTGCTGACTGGAGAAGTGGAAACATAACCCCCATTTTCAAAAATGGAAAAAAGGAGGACCCAGGTAACTACAGACTGGTCAGTTTCACCTCTGTGTCTGGCAAGATCATGGAGCATATCCCCCTGGAATCACTGCTAAGGCACATGAAAAACAAGGAGGTGATTGGTGACACCCAGCATGGCTTCACAAAGAGCAAGTCATGTCTGACAAATTTGGTGGCCTTCTAAGATGGTGCTACAGCATTGGTAGACAAGGGGAGAGCAATGGAAAACATCTACCTGGACTTACGCAAAGCATTTGACACCGTCCTGCATGACATCCTGGTCTCTAAATTGGAGAGACGTGGGTTTGACGGATGGACCACTTGGTGGATAAGGAACTGCTGTGATGGTCACAATCAAAGGGTTGCAGTCAGTAACTCAATGTCCAAGTGGAAGCCAGTGATGAGTGTTGTTCCTCAAGGGTGAGTACTGGGACAAGTGCTGTTTAACATCTTTGTCTGAGGCATGGACAGTGGGATAGAGTGCACCCTCAGCAAGTGTGCTGATGACACTAAGCTCAGTGGCATGGTCGACACGCTGGAGGGAAGGGATGCCATCCAGAGGGACCCGTACAGGCTTGAAAGGTGGGCTTGTGCAAACCACATGAAGTTCAACCAAGCCAAGTGCAGGGTCCTGCACCTGGGACATGGCAATCCCAGGCACAAATACAGGTTGGGCAGAGAATGGCTGGAGAGCAGCCCTGAGGAGATGTGATGGTCACAATCAAAGGGTTGCAGTCAGTAACTCAATGTCCAAGTGGAAGCCAGTGATGAGTGTTGTTCCTCAAGGGTGAGTACTGGGACAAGTGCTGTTTAACATCTTTGTCTGAGGCATGGACAGTGGGATAGAGTGCACCCTCAGCAAGTGTGCTGATGACACTAAGCTCAGTGGCATGGTCGACACGCTGGAGGGAAGGGATGCCATCCAGAGGGACCCGTACAGGCTTGAAAGGTGGGCTTGTGCAAACCACATGAAGTTCAACCAAGCCAAGTGCAGGGTCCTGCACCTGGGACATGGCAATCCCAGGCACAAATACAGGTTGGGCAGAGAATGGCTGGAGAGCAGCCCTGAGGAGAAGGACTTGGGGGTGTTGGTGGACGAGAAGCTTAACATGCCCCAGCAATATGTGCTGGCAGACCAGAAAGCCAACCGCATCCTGTGCTGCGTCAAAAGAAATGTGGCCAGCAGGTCGCGGGAGGTGATTCTAGCCCTCTGCTCTACACTCGTGAGACCCCACCTGAAGCACTGTGTCCAGCTTTGGAGTCCTCAACATGGGAAGGACATGGACCTGTTGGAACGGGTCCAGTGGAGGGCCACGAAGATGATCAGAGGGCTGGAGCACCTCTCCTATGAAGACAAGCTGGGAGAGTTGGGGTTGTTCAACCTGGAGAAGTCTCCGAGGAGACGTTGTAGTGGCCTTCCTTGTAGTGGCCTTCCAGTACCTAAAGGGAGCTACAGGAGAGATGGGCAGGGACTCTTTATGAGGGAGTGGAGCCATAGGATGAGGAGTAATGACTTTAAACTGAAAGAGGGGAGATTTAGATTAGATATTAGGAAGAAATTCTTTCCTGTGAGGGTGGTGAGACACTGGAACAGGTTGCCCAGAGAAGCTGTGGCTGAGCACAGCCTGCCTGGAGGGGTTTAAGGCCAGGCTGGATGGTGCTTTAAACAACCTGGTCTGGTGGGAGGTGTCCCTGCCCAGGGCAGGGGGATTGGAACTCAATGGTCTTTAAGGTCCCTTCCAACCCAAACCATTCTATGATTCTATGAAATCTGAGCTAGCAAGGTGAGTTTATCCTGGATTTTGGCACCATTGTTATAATACTGAACAAAGACCTCCTCTGACACTTCCTCTTCTGCCATTGCTTTCTTAATCTTTCCCTCTCTTTTTATTTGCTGTCCTCTGTTTTATTGGGAAGGGGGATTTCATGTTGGACAGGACTGGAAGGTATTTTAAGGGTCACCTGACTCCAGTGTCCTTCAAAAGGTACTGAGCCAACTCACAAAATGTCTCTTGGATCACTGGGTGCCCTCTCCATCACCAGGCTGCTCTATGTGTATGATCCAGGGATAACCTGCTGGAGTGTGTCAGCCCTCCAGGAGCCATAGTGCCTTTCCTTTCTGCCCTTTGACAGCTCCTCTCGCTTGTAGCTATTAATTATTGCATACAACAGGGTACTGTAATTTCTCTTTCTCAATAGTTTTCTCATCCTTGTAGGAAAGAAAGAGTTTTCACATCCCTGATACCATCCCACCTTCTCTGCACTGCTCTCCAAAGGCACACTTGGCCTTTTATGAGCTGGGAAGGGACTTCTTGTCAGGAGGCAAAACCAAGAGGGGTTCCTTGCAGTATGTACCAAAGGATCAGGTGTGGGGCTGGGCTGAAGGGAACACGGGCAGCCGCAGGGAGTGAGGCTGGTCACTTCATCTGGGACACCCAGGGACATCATCAACCCAAAGGCAGCCAGCCCCCTGAAGCAGTGGTGCTTTGCTACCAGTGATGATAAAAGACCGAATTGCTGTGATCTGCCCTCCTCTCAGCCTGGTGAAGTCCACAGCCACCGAGAGCAATGGCAGGAGGGACACTGTTGAGACACAGTCCTGCCTTTTTTGTCTGCCAGTGATGCCAGCAACCCCGTCATGTGCCAGATTAGAGTCACTGAGAAATGGGTCCTGGAAAGCATTCTCAGTGAGGATGGCATGAAATGCTATGGACTGTTCCCATTACACCCCAGTGTCCCCCTGCAGCAACTGGATCTTGGCCACCACCAAGAGGACAGGACCTCCTGCATTTCCCACACCAGTCAGGGCATGAGCTGATCTGCAAGCTCCACCCAAAGACGGGGAAGAGGCTTCCAGACTAGCAGTGAGAATATTTCAGGAAGTTGGTTTCAACCCCAAGAAGGGACAGGCAGACCTGAAGTCCTCTGAGGCTCAGCGATCATAGATGATTTATAACTGCTGCAGTGGGAAAACACCTCCCATCTCCAAGGGACACTTACGTTTGCCCCAGGTGCTTGGGAGAGGGGTAGCTGCTCCCTTCTTGCTGTTTCGTAAGGTAAATGAAGTATCCTTTTGTGATCAGAAAGCCTGCTTGATTCACGCATGCCGCGTTGAAATGATTTGCCCTATATGCCCACATCGCTCTGCTGTCTTCTGTTGTCAGTGCATGCCCAGAGGTGTTGAACTTTCATGTCTCCCAGGGAATCCCCTCCGGTTCCTCCTCCATTAAGTGATTACCAGGGCTTGCCCAGAGAGAAAGGACAGTTCCTATGAACGTCAGAATTGATTACCAGAGAAGAACTGCCTATGGTGATGAAGAGAGGGGGCAGCACCCAGAGTAGAGCTGGCTGACCAAGCAGGGCCTGTGAAGGCTCCAGGCAGCAGAGCCTGGTAGAAGCCAGCACATGCTGGGACAGACCAAAGAGATCACCTCACAACAGAGCCAAAGAAACAGGGTTTCTTTATCATTTCATGCAGAAGTGGTTTCATCTCACTGTAGCCTGCAGGGTGCTACATTTACCCAACTTGACAGCAAACTTCCCCACAGCTTGGCTCCTTCTGCAGCTTCCACTGCCTGCCTTGCAGCATCAGACAAGCCTAGTGCTCGTTAGCAGACTTCTTGACCTGATTCCATGCTCTGCGGTAGCTTTGCAGGGACATCTGCAAAAGGAGAAAGGAGAAGCCCTTAATACATTCAGACAGCAGTGATACGTCACGGAGAAAGCAGCAAGGTTGGAATCTAGCCTGGCCCGAGCTGCTGTATTGCTTGCCCCTTCAACCCTGCTGCTCCCACTGAGATCCCTGCTCACTGTGGTGTGCTGAGGAGAGCTCCTGCAGGTCTGCACCAGCTTTGGTTTCTCCTTTGAATGCCACAGCTCTCCACAGGCCCTGGAGACCACACGCATAAGCATTGTATATGCTTATGGCAGCAGGGCTGTTGGACATGCCCTGCCACAGAAAGGCCAGCAAAGAAAACAGGTTTATAGCCTCACTCTCATCCTAGGGACAACTACAGGTTCCTTCTTTAGCCCCTTGAGCTCTTGGCTGCTCTCCAGCTCCCAGAGGCAAGACTCTGGGCACCACAGCATAAGCAGCATGCAAGCTGGAGCCTGGGTCTCCCAGTCAAGGGGAGCCACTGGGTGAGAAGAGATCTGCTTGCACAAAGACAGGCCAGCAGGCTGGCTGCTCACCAGCTCTGGGGTAGTCACAGCTTGACCACTACTTCTGACCTCCCGGCACTGGTGCTGAGGGGTCAAGCCCAAATCCCCATAGTTCTGACCTCCGAGAAAGGCTGGACCACATAAGCCCTGTCCACTGTGGACTGGGGTGCTGGGGAGCCGAGTGTTCAACAGGCGAAACCACAGAGGTCTCCCCGTCTCAGCCACAGCTAAGCCTATCTCCACCCAAGGATGAGCAGGGTGCCAAGGACCACACTATCTGTCCTATCCAGCCCAGCCGCTTCTCTCCCTGCACTGCTGTGCACACGAGGCAAGGGTACAGACATGTCCTGCTACTTCCAGGCTTTGACTATGCTCCTCTGTGTTCTCTCTCCATCTCCCAGCCTGCAGGAGCTGGGATAATCAAAGATATTCTTACAACTTTGTAATGCACTCATGGGTCTCGGCCAGCCTTTCCTTATCAGGAAGGGTCAAGATACAAGTGAGTAAGAAATGTCTGAGATCATCAAAGAGGACTACAAACACTAGGAAGCCATTGGGGGCACTGGAAAAGGCAGAGCTGGAAACGTATTGGGCTGCCATATGTCCCCGGCTCCTTACATCAGTTTCAGTACAGCAACAGCCCAACATTGCTTCCTGTCAAATTACAAGTTGTGTCCGCGCCTTGGCTTCCCCTCTGAGTCCAGTCATTAAAATTTAGCCTTCATCCTTGGGGTAGGGAGGAATTGCTGCTCTGTTAACAGGAAAAGCTTCCAGCTCTGCCAGGCACCAGTGAAACCACCGTGTGAGGAGTCGCACGTGGCTTCCTGGGGGGTCAGGAGCGAGCACTCTGGTCCTCAGGGGAGCTGTAGGTGGGCAGTCAGATGCAGCTCCACTATGCCCCAGTGCCCAGCTGGCACACGTCTGGACTTCTGCATGCCCAGCCCAATCTCACCTTGGCAACTGCCACCTTCCTCTCCCAAACCTTGAGGTTTTTTTCGAGTTCAGCAATTTCCATCTTCTTCTGCACGTAACTCAGCACAGGGGGGACACTGTAGTCCGAGAGCTGCTTCCGCAGCTGCCGATTCACACGCTCAGCTTCAGCTCGTTGCTGCCGGAGGAACAGGGACAGAGGGCAAGAAGATCCCTGGGAAACAACCCTGCCAGCTTGCTGCCAGTCCCCCAGGGAAGCAGGCAGGCAGGATAAATTAAGCCTCCAGCACTGTAGGGGGAGCACTGAGATGCATCCACCAGTGCCTCCATCCCTGCCAGGCAGCACTGCTAAGGAGTCCCTTGAACCCACTTCCCAAAGCTGTGGTGTCCCTGCCAGGCTATGTGTCCCCAGACTGGTATGACAGCAGTGCCACCTCTCCCTGGGGAGGACACTGCTGATGAAAAGTTCAAGGAAACAGAATTTCAAGAAGGCAGTGGCAGGTTCCTGTGGAGCCAGGGCCAGAATCCACAACATGGCCTGTTCTGCAAACCTGCCCGTGCTCACCGGCACCAGCAGATGTCCCAGGACTTGTTCAGACCCAGAAAGGCACACAGGTATCCAGCTCAGCACTGGGCCTCGAATGAGCATCAGTATCCTGCATACCACAATGCAGAAAGTCTTCCGAAATGAAGACTCAGGGCTTCCCAAATCACTCTCTTACCTTCTCCACCACAACAGTTTCTCTTTCAATTTTCTCCAGCAGCTCCTTCCTCTGGGAGATGTCTTTTGTCAGAGACATGGATGTTTCCATGGCGTCCTGCAGCTTCCTCTGGAACATGAGAACAGGACAGCCATCAGCTGTAGCAGCAGCTCCCAGCCACCTACAAAGCCACCCCTCTACTCCTCCAGCTTGGTCTCAGCTGATGGTACAGGAGCTCTGCTCCCAGGGGAGCTCTGTGGCACCACTTGTCCCCTGCAGAAGGCAGAATCGTGCCCTGGTCATGCAGCTCCTGCTCCGTTATGTTCTCAGTGACACATTGCTGCACAGCCCACGGCACAGCAGCTGGGGTTTAAGACTGATCCAGACAGTACGGCTGATCGGAGAGAAGGAAATACACCCAGCTGAGTGATAAGAGAAGAGACTCAGAGTGACGCTGCAGCTCATGACATCTTTTCAAATGTCACAGGTTATGTAAAAATATATTTTCCTGTGCAAGTCAGCACCAAAGTTCTTTCCTACTAGGATTTTCCACTGGGGTGTAAAATAACCATGCTGCAAAGCATGAACCCCATTGTCAGGCTGCAGCCAAACATAAATGAGAGCATCGCTGCTTTTGATGTGTTGGGCAAACCTCCCAACCAAACTACTAAGTCAGTGGGAAGGCAGAGAGGTGTTTGGCACCCTCTGTCTGAGAAAGGGAAGGATGCAAGAGCTGTTAATCAGATCATGTGTGACATTCAGAAAGAGAAGAAAGTCAAACAGGAGGTGCTGGGAGATTCACTCACGTGATAGAAGTTGAAAACTTGGACAGTCTTCCGTGAGGTCAGTTTTAGCTGCAACAGCTCCTGGTTCTTCTCATCAATCTTCTGCTGGTACTTGGCATTTCTAACCTGCAGTTCCTGCAAACGGACCTCACAGAGCGTCTCTCCCATCTGCTCCTTCTGTAAACCCCAAGGAAGCAGAGCTGTAGGTTGCTGACCAAAGCTGCATGCCAAGGAAGACAGCTTTGCTCTGTGAGGAAAGAAGACCTGACCACCAGGGTCTTCAGCCTGGCTGTAAACCTGGGGCTTGGGGAGAAATGCAAGACACAGCATGCTACTGATTGTGTGCCCTGTGTCCTAGCTTAGAGGGTCCAAGCAGTGCGGACAGGGCCCCTCTGGCGAGGCTTCTGCCATGCCAGCAGCAGTCAGTCCCCAGGGAACTGTTCTGATCCACCATACATCTTTTCCAGGGCATCAAGAGATCTGCCAGCTTCCTGTGAAACTTCTGGTCATCTCTCACACATGTAGACACGTGCAAGGTCTGAACCTGGGCAGAAGTCAAAGGCAGAAAGGCCAGGAGCAAAGGAGGAAGGGGAGGAGGAGAAGGGTCATCCATGTCTACACATAGCAGGCCCTGTGTCTGCACTGGGCTTTACTCCTTTCATTCTTCAAGGACCCTTCTAGTCCCTGCTTCTCCTCAATGGCCACACGCACCTGCCTGAGCTGCTGCTGCAACTTCTTCTTGTAACCCTTGAGCAAACAATTTTTCAGGCGTAACTTCTCTCTCAGCAGATCCTAAAGAAAGGCAACAGGTTAGAGTAGAATAGCAGAGCCTGGGAAGAGAAAGAGCACCCAGACCCCACTCCATTCACCTCATCTGCACTGTGGCCTTCACTGCTAGCTTAGAAAGGAGCCCAGTCAGAAACACTGCTCAGCATCACCCTGCCCCAAATGTAGGGGCAGATGCATGCATTTCCCCAGGCTCCACTAAGAGCCCTGTGTCATTTATGCTCACAGCTGGGCTGCAGCTTCAGCCTGATGAGCACCTGGGCTACCCACCGACTGACAACTGTGACAAGGACTGTCCAAAGAGACTTGATAAGACAGTCTAAAAACGGCCACACAGGAGTATGGGAACTAGGATTTTCCTAACCAACATACTTGTCAGATGACACACCAGCCTCAAAATTTGCCATCATGGACTGACCCTCTGGCGATTCTTCTCCTCCATGTATCTCAGCAGCTTCTCAGAAGCTATGATACTCCCTTTCTTGCTGGAGATGGTGCTGATGACGTCTTTCTCAAAATCACTCATGGCTTTCTTAATATCAGTCCACCAAACATCTGCTTCTTCTATGACTGCCTGTAGAAAGAGTCACGTAACAGTCAAGAGGTACTAACTTCCTTTGTCCAAACAGCTTTGGGAACAGGGAACACTGGAAAGTATCAGGCACACTCTCTGCTGGCATTACTAGCATCTCTCCCATGAGAGCACTGAGCTTCAGCCTATGCAGCTCAGGGCACATGGTGCAGGCTCAGATAGCACTGACTCACTCAAAAAGAACGAGAACAAAAATCTTTCATGTGCCTGAACTTCAACGTTTGTCATTCTGTCCTGGCCTACAAACATTGCCAGTCTGACAAAGCCAACACAAGACAAATTACTACCCTTTGTTTACTACACATGCCCTGTGGCCACACAAGAGGGACGCGCTGCCTGCTTCACCTCTCCTGGCCACTGCAGGCAGCATCAGTGGTCTGAACCAACTGCAAAGGTCTCTCCTTCCCCAAAAACTCCTGAGCATCTTGGCTAGGAGGAGGTCTTGGCAGCCAGCACAGGACAGGCAGAGATGGTGATATAGGCACAAAGAGCCTGCAGCAGGAATGCAGTCTCAGAGACTTGGAGCATGCTTTGAAGAAATCCCAGAGACAGCGGAAAGGCAGACCCTGGAGAGGACTGCATGGAGCCCAGCCAAATAAGGAAGCTTCTGGGAGCTGCTAGAATTAAAAATATGTCTGAGATTTTTCTTTCAAGCATTGACTTCTTCATCTCACATAGCAGATTTGAGCTACTCTACCTAAAAATATTCCCCTCGCCTCTATTATTATTAGTTCCTGCTATAATAAGATCCATCTTTAGAGACCGGACACCTCTGATCTCTGTTGGTGTGCTTCAAGAAAGGGGTGAGGTAAGAGGACAGTTCCAGCTCTCACTCTCAACTCAAGACCACTCACAGCAATGCTCTGCTATGAACAGCCCCACCAAGCAAGTCTGTCTCACTGCCTGAGGCACAGCACGTCAAAAGAAGTGTTAAAAGTAACTAGACTTTTTGACACCTTGGTGATCATAAGGGTCCTGAAAAGCCATACCTCCAGGTTCTGCAAGGTCTGCTCCGAGTTCTTTTTCATCCTCTCAATCTCATCCTTCATCTCAACCAGCTCCCGCTCAGCCAGCTCACATTTCTGCTCCACTGTCAGGCCTACAAAGTAGTCCGTGGCCCCATGCAACTTGGATTTGTACCTGCCATGTGTCTGCAACAACCAAGGAACAATGCAGATGCTGTTATAAAGCCAGCACTGGCCAACTGTTGCTGCAAAATGCTGTATTCAAAAAGAAAATAATCTCAGCAGGATTCCAGCTTACAGCAAGGGCAAGGAGGCCTCTCCAGAGCACAGGTAACTCAGGGCCACACCTGGGCTGACCCCACCTGTCCTCTCATCCTCCCTCAAATCCCTCCTATGCAAGCACTTTCAGTTCAATCACAGAATCATAGAAATGCCTAGGTTGGAAAGGACCTTTAAGATCATCTAGTCCAACCATAAAAAAAAAAAACAAACCACAAAAAAAACCCCACACTAAACCATATTCCCGAGCACCATGTCAATTCGTCTTCTGAATATCTCCAGGGATGGTGCCTCAACCACTTCCATGAGCAGCCCATGCCATTGCCTGATAACCCTTTCAGGGAAGAAATTTTTCCTAATATCCAAACTGAACCTCCCCTGGGGCAACTTGAGGCCATTTCCTCTTGTCCTATTGCCTGTAACTTGGGAGAAGAGACCGATCCCCACCTCTCTGCACCCTCCTTTCAGGGAGCTGGAGAAAGCAAGAAGGTCTCCCCTCAGCCTCCTTTTCTCCAGGCTGAACACCCCCAGCTCCCTCAGCCTCTCCTCACAAGACTTGTGCTCCAGACCCCTCCCCAGCTCCGTTGCCCTTCTCTGGACCCGCTCCAGCCCCTCAATATCTTTTTTGTGGGAAGGGGCGCAAAACTGGACACAGTACTTGAGGTGGGGCCTCACCAGTGCCCAGTACAGGGGGACGATCACCTCTCGGGTCCTACTTGTGATAAATGATTTTTCCTCAAACAGGATTCCAATTAAAGTTTACAATTTATTAAATGAGTAAAGACAAGCAAACAGTGCTGGGTGCACCGGGAGTCTCCGCTCAACCAAGGCACACACGTGCAAGTCCCGTTTTGGGTTTATATCGCTTCTCCTAATACATATTCATACAAAGGTTGGCCTATGCTAATGATAGGCGTATCTTCTTTGGCGCATGCCCTCCTCACCTTCTGGAATCTTCTATGAGTTTTCCTTGGCTCGCCCCCAGGATGACCCCCGACTCCAGGCGTGCGCCCCACAGACCCCTCCCGTTCAGCACCATGCGGCTAGTAACAAAAACTGGTTTCCTTAGGGGTTCTTACAAGAAACAGAAACTACATACATACAATCCCGCTTCTCCCAAGCCCATGGTCATACAAGGACAAACAGAACAGTTAAAGATATTAACACGAATCAGGTGAACACATTTCACATACTCACTGCACTGTTCCTGACACAGGCCAGGATGCTGGTGGCCTTCTTGGCCACCTGGGCACACTGCTGGCTCATGTTCAGCCAACAGTCCACCAACACCCCCAGGTCCTTTTCTGCCAGGCAGCTCCAGCCACTCTTCCCCCAGCCTGTAGCACTGCAGGGGGTTGGTGTGACCCAAGTGCAGGACCCGACACTTGGCCTTATTGAACCTCATCCTGTTGGTCTCAGCCCATCGATCCAGCCTGTCCAGATTCCTCTGCAAAGCCTCTCTACCCTCCAGCAGGTCAACACTGCCACCCAACTTGGTGTCATCTGCGAACTTGCCAAGGGTGCACTCGATCCCCTCATCCAGATCATTGATAAAGATGTTAAAGAGAACGGGTCCCAGTACCGAGCCCTGTGGGACACCACTCGTGACCGGCCACCAACTGGATTTGACTCCATTCCCCACCACTCTCTGGGCCCGGCAATTCAACAGGCAAAGCCAGAGCTAGAGCTTAAACACAATGTGACAGTTGCACGTGGGCAGGTAAAACACCTCTTTGAAGTGAGATACTAATTGTTGTGTAGGATACTAATTTAGTGTAGGTATGGGGTCTCCTACCACCACCTGGGTCAGACACCGTAAGGAGCTGAGCTTACTGCAGTACAGGCAGGCTGGAGCGTGTTCTCGGAAGAACTGACACCACTTGGGAATTCCCAGTGCTGTGGTAACACAGCGAGGCAGGCACTGCTTTGCAGAGGGCGAGTGCCCACCTGGCCAAGGCAAAGTTTCTAAGGGCTCAGTCTGGGAATAAGCAGAAAGCGGCTACTTGAGCCTCAGGCAGGTGCTAAAACCCAGTGCAGGACGCTGGCTGAAAGGAGCTCCAGCGCAAAGAGTCTAGAGCTTCTGTTCACTGTGCCTCTGGAAAATAGGTAATGTTTGGGCCAGCAGGTAAAAATCTGCTCCAAAAGACTGTCCACGGCTCCAGTGAGAAGGAAGAGTGCAACATGCACTCAGCGTAGGTACCTGAATGGGAACGCACAAAGGTCTGAGCCCGTGTGGACTTCCCCAGGAGGGAAGAGAGGAGCTGGCACAGACCTGGCACAGACCTGGGCAAGTCTGCTTTCTTGTCACCAGCCTCCCTATTTGTTTAACTTCTACTTCAAATTATGCTGTGTGTGAGGGTTAACCCATTCCAGATCTCCCTGGCAGTCACTATTCAGGAGGACACAGTGCAGGGAAGGGACAGCATCAGCTGGAAGAGGAGAAACCAGAAGGCAGCCTGGCCTTTGCAGAGTGCAGGAAAGGTAATGCAGACTAAACTCTTACACCCACAAGTCCAGCAGCACCTTTTTGCAAGCGTCTGGCTTAAGGGCTCGCCACTGTGAAGCCCAAGCGCAGAGCACTGCTGGTGGCCTTTCTTCACCCCAAGTCAAACTGGACAGCTTGCCTGCTAACTTCTTGTCAGACAAGCGCCAAGACTGGGAGGTCAGGGGGCTGTGGAGGGAGGAAGGGTCATGGCTCTGTGCAGCCAGACCCGCAAATCCCATCCCTGTGGCTGCGGGGCTGCTGCCCTGGCTGTGGAGCAGTACCTGCATCAGCTCTGGCGTGGGGTCTTGCATCTTGGTCAGCAGCTGGAGCGAGGGGCCAGATGGCTCCAACTTACGGTACCATTTCTCAAACATTTCTGCCTCGGTTCGGAGCAGGTCGTTAGCGTGGCTGCCAGGAGAAAGGGGTCGGACTGAGGCCTCGGCCGAGCCATTGGGGAGCAGCTGAGCCACATCAGGCGGCTGCGGGGCATGGCGGCCAGCCCTATGGAGCAGGAGGTCCCTGTGGCCGATCACCCCGGCCAGGACACAGGGTCTCAGCCAGAGCCGCTCCTTCCCGGACCCGAGACAGCCGGCAGAACCTGGGGAACCGTGTCCCTCCAGGGGTCTGGGCCGGAAGAGCCAGGCTGCAGCCCCCGACCACGGCTAGGCAGCACCCGCGGCCCGGCCCGACCCCCGGGGCCTCTGGGGACGGTGCCCAGCGCGGGGGCAGTCGGGGACACCCTGCCCGGCCCGGCCCACCCCGGCCCGGCCCGGCCC